GTCTAAACTATATTTTAGAAAAAATTGAGCCATCCAAAAACCAAATATAGGTCGGCATAAATGATCAATCATAACAACAGCTAAGCCAGCAGGACCCAATTCTCTGATTACACAAAAATAAAAACCCAACAAATTTAAGCGAGAGACACAAAGTGGGATCATTGGCGTTTGTCAGCATATCAAAACCGTGGATAGCTTTCTTAGGCTTTTTTTTTTTTTTTTTTTTTTTTTCCACGCTCAAAATACTCTGATGCTTTTTTGTCTTGCATGGTGACATGTAAAGCGCCATATAAGTTGAGGGTATGCCCTTACAACATGGTTCTTGTATTACGGAGTTCCTCAAATTATTAGATACTCTCTCGTGCGTGGGGCTCATTTTTTGAATTTTATATGAGAACACCTCCCAGTGATTTCATATTGTTTTGGATTTTTTTTTTCTTTTCTTTTCTTTATCTTCCCTTTCTTGGGAGATGATTTCACATGGTTTTTGGACTTCCATTCCTTTATTCGCAATTCCAAGTACGTGGATGTTGGCTCATGAAAACATTAGATCATTCAGAGATTAGTTATGAATTTGAGTGTTAACTCAATAATCATACTTAATGAAGCCAGTTAATAATGTTGAGGCTTGAGACGGAGACATGTCGTATGGAGACAAAATCGTCGTTTAACATGTACAACATGGTCAAAGAGACCCCCATAATTCATAAAGGCGTGTTGGACGGTTTCTTTTGTTAGCATTCTGGATTTTCTTCAGAACGACTAAAAGCCATAAAGCATAGAAGGCCGTTTGACTTTCTCCTTGAGTTGATGCGGACACATGGGATGCTGGATACTTTGAGCCATGAAAGTGAAATGTTCATTTTGAGGAGAAAGTTGAAAATAATAATAACAACAACAACAACAACAACAACATTGAAATTTAAAAGTCTTTAAAAATCGTTAGAAATTTTGGTCGGTGGTGTCTAGTACTGTCTACAATATTACAATCACAAAATAGCTTATACTTGTATACCTAATAGTTAGACGACTAGTACTAGTAGTAACGTTTGACCTTCTTGCATAGTTAGAGGGGTACCATCATAGCCAGCTCAATAGTTGCAGGCCAAGCCTACATCGCCCATACTGTAAACGGATAAGTGACCATTGAGTATAATTATAAAAAAAAAAAAAAAAAAAAAAAAAAAAAAAAAAAAAAAAAAAGAGCACCAAATAAATTGATCAGACTGATTATAACTATAGTTGAAAAAATTGACTTAAAACGTTTTTAAGTACACACGGAAAAGTCTCTTGGGATAGAAAGAAAGTACTACAGTGGGAGAAGAAAATTAAAGTTTTAAATGTAAAAAAGACTACAAAAGAAGGTTCAAATTATAACCCCATTTTTTATGCACGTAGGACCAATACATTAGTGATGTGATTCATAAATCTGAGTACCAAATTGGACTGGCTATAAGGGCCACAAACAACATGATATGAAAAGAGTGGGGGAAAAAAGATGTTTTACCTCAGCAAGATATACATCTTGTATCGATTTCAGACAGAAGAAAAGAGATACATATATATGATTTCCACGTGATCTTACTATACACTTTTATGTCGTAATCAATTGATTTGATTTCATATTGGCATTGGCTTTTCGCATAGTGTAAAAGTCCTGAACCAAACTTTGTCGTCGTTCTTTATAACCATATTTTCCCGGCAGAAAATAGTGGAAAGATGAATTAATTCTTCCGGGGATATGAATTTTGATTTTTAGTACTACACTGTTCAAACAGTTCATATTCTTGTTCAATTACTGTGCGGATATTAATGATATAATTATTTCAGGAAGTGGGTCATGCTAGCTAGCATATATAATTTTGTGTTGTTTATTTTGTTATGAAACACAATGACTTGTATCATAAAACTTTTGAAAATAATGAAATATTTGTTGGGAAAGTGTCTTAAATTAGTTTTTGGGAAAGTTAATATTTTGTGTTTTTAGGTAAGTTGTTGTTTTATGTTTTTGAGAATTTTATAGCTCATTAGAAGTCTATAAATAAGTATTTTGTGTAAGGCTTCATGTGTGCTTAGAGAAAAATGTGGAGAAAGAGTGCATCCTTTTGAGAGAAGAGAGAAAAGTGAGGAGAGAGATAGACAAGGGTATAAGGAGTTTAAAGTAGAGAGAGAAAGTGAGAAAGTTTGTTGAGTGTTTAATTCTGAAACTGTTAGTGAATTTTTCTCCCTCTTCCGTGTACGTAGGAAATTTTTTCGAATCATTTAAATATTTGCATTCTCTATTTTTTTGTTATTTTTGTTTCAGTTTATTTTCTGTTGCATGTGTGTAGGGGTGTGTTTTTTCTTAATAAGTGGTATCATAGCTAATAGTTCGTATAGGTCAAGTAATCACACTCAGTTGGTGTTCCTATAGTTGGTGCTGTTGCAGGTGTGGATAGTGGAGCATTTGGTGGACTTGTATGGTTTCGGCTCTCTTTTCCATTCTCTAGTTGGCTCCTGCTTGGATGTGCTGGCTACAAGAAACTTTAGTTCAAGGGGGAGCTCAGTGAACACACACATGTGAGAGAGATTGTTGATAAAAGTACATATGCGTGTTGCATCACATAAAAAGTGTACGAAAATATAAAGTGATTTATATATATAAAAAGATCCTCACCCAATAAATTAATTTTTTAGGTCAAATTAAACGTGTTGGGCTAATTTTCATGTAGAATCTCCCTAACAACATTTTACTATACAAAAGATAATAATAAGAAGAAAGGCCATTATGAGAAGGGGACCCAAGAAAGGATATATCGGGTCAAGTGGAAAGGATTTTCTACTTATTATTATGAAAAGGTTTTTGTCGCGAAGCAAATTTAGCAAATATTGGGTCGTGCATATGTAGTTATTGATGAACTTTTTTTTTTTTTTTTTTTTCGTTTTTCCATTCATTTATTATTGTTGGCTTTTGATGTATATATATTCTTATAAAATGGTAAGTTGTACGAATGAAATTCTTCCATACAAAATAATTGTAGTAAGACTTTTAATTAATTAACAGAGAGAGAGAGAGAGAAAAAAAATCTGTTGTGGGGCTGGTTCAAATCTTAAAGTCATGAAGGGCATGCTGTCAAGCACAAAAGGTCCCACGCCAAAGAAAATGAGGAAGACCTAGTCTCCCCAGAGCCTAAAGAGTCAATTTTAAGTGAAGAAAATGACGATGACTCCTCAATTTTCAACTGTACACAAGTATGAATGGCAAGAGCAATACAGTTTTAGTTTCAATATGATAATTGTTACCAAATCATCTCTTCCATGCATCATCCACTAGATCATGATCGGCATGCATAAATATTCTAACAAATTTATAGTAAGAGATTCCGTCAAGTCTTTAGACCAGCATAAACAGAAGGATTATATTTACCACTTTTCTATAGATGAAGGGGTGGGAATTCTAATTTTTTAAGTTTAAGAGGCAACTTGACATGAGGTCAATAGTTCAGGGGTATTTTTAAAATTAATCCTTAATTTTGAGGTGAAAAGTTTCGAACTTAAGATTTCAAGTTCATAAGTAAGTGAGGAATTACAACCAGGTTTAGAACCACTTGTTTTGATAACATGGGCATGCTTGAAAATAAATTTCTTATAAAAAATTGAGTTGTTAAGAGGTCATTCAACACTGATTTTATATTGTAATTATTAACTACTGATTGCATGAAACTTTGTCTTTATTTGATAATTGTCGTGTTAAACTCCAAGAAGTTGTTGCTTTAAAAGCAAGAAAATATGCCCAACTCTTTAAGGAATGTCCCCTCTCTGTAAATAATATTTAATCGGTAAAGTACTGAAGTCCTATTCTCAGTTGAGCTTAAAACATGCGGATATGTCTTACTAGTAGATTCTTTTAAAGGTAAAATAAAAACAAAAACAAAACAAAAAAGCTCATTTTAGTAAGAAAAAGTATTTCCTTTTTATTATTATTTTTTTATTGCTCAGACTATTGTGGACAAGTTTTGTCCACTTTTACCAATATACCTTCGTTTATTCACCTCACCAGCTATGGTTTTGCCAATACAGACAAATGAAAGCTTTATCCCATCTTTTACTTTGTAATTCCAATTCGGCCTAACTATACAGTTTTATCACGTGACTTGAAGTTCTTTTAGGGATTATTTGGTCGAGAGATTCGTACTCCGATTCGAATCATGTTTCATAATTCACTTTAATATTTTTTCTCATAAAAAATACACATAAATCAAAAATAATTATAATCTCATTATTATAATTTATGAACCAAACATCTCCTTAAACAATATCTCAATGCAATCACAATGTGTACTAGTCTTTGTTGCATAGACAAAAATATGAGGCTGTGGAGGCTAAATGGGACGGCCAGCTTTTGTACAACTCATAATCAATCATGGCCATGTTAAAAAAAAAAAATTAAAACTTTAAATAAAATTTCAAAAAAAAAAAAAAGTTTTTGCCACACGTACCATGACAATCACTTTATATTGAAATTTGAAAGGACAGCACCGTGGAAGTACAGAAAGCTGGATATTATTTCTTCAATTCTACATGGAACTATGGAACTCCACTTGTGAAACAACAATAGTAAAAACATAAATAAAACGTTATAATTTTATTAATCTTGGGATTATAGATTGTTGTTACAAAAGGAATCACATACATAGTTTTTACATTATGATGGTTGTTGTTCTTCTCTCTCTCTCTCTCTCTCTGTTTTTCTCTCTCTCTCTCTCTCTCTCTCTCTCTCTCTCTCTCTCTCTCTCTCTCTCTCTCTCTCTCTCCCCGCCCCACTTACACGTAGAAATACATAAAGCCAACTGGCAGTTTTGATTCATTCACAAAGCGATGAAATAATTAGGCCAAAAGGATGTAGGAAAAGGACAATGTAGTCTAGGATTTGAATGTGATTTGCTTGGTTTTTTTTTTTTTTTTTTTTTTTTTTTTTTTCCTTCCCTCCCCTTTTTCCTCTTATTTATATGGGGAAGAGAAAGGCCGAGAGAAAGATAGAAAGTTGGGAGTCTAGAGAACATCATAACACCAATATAGATACCCTTTTGGAGGAAAGTGAAGAAAATGAACATATCAACATCAAAATTCAGTAGTGGGTGTGAATCTGGTTGGACTCTTTACCTAGACCAATCATACATCTCAGAAAGTGAATTCCAGAGAGATAACAGTGATAATAACAATAATAATTATAATTATAATGGTATTGCTGAATGTGGAGGAAAAGGAGTGAGAGAAGAGGAAGAGGAAGATTTGTCCATGGTGTCTGATGCTTCTTCTGGGCCTCCACATTACCATGAAGATTGCTACTGCGAAAATGGATCTTCTTTTTCTGCTTCTAACTGGGCTTACAACAACAACGACAATAAGTCATCAAAGGACAGAGAGAAGAAGAAGATGATGATGAAAGAGAAGTGTACAAATGAATACCATTCATGTATAGATGACACTGCTAGCTCTCCTGTCTCCAAGGCAAGATTATTAGATTTTTGTTTAACTTATACTCTAGTAGATTCAAATACCAATTATTATTATTATTATTATTATTTTTAAATGTGTTTTTGGTTCCAATTTGACAGAAAAAGTCCACTTTACCAAGAAATGGAGCTTTTATGGAGAACAACAGATTGGACTATTCTCAAGGATTCTCTGCAACACATTTTGAGGTACCTATTCATCCTACTTCTCTGGAATGATTTTCTCATTCCAATCTATTTGTTATTGTCTCTTATGATTATTGCTTTGATTATTTGTAGGGAGAATCTGCATTTGGTAATCATTTTGGTATGTTTCAGTCTTCTCTAGCTAAAGGTTCAGCTCCACAAAAGCCAGGTCAAGCACTGTATAATGCTCTCTTTATATTATTTCTTTGTTCTAAAGTTCATAATAAGGAAACAAAGATAGAATTTTGCTAATAAATTTACTATTTGCAGATGACTTCCAGGGAGGAAATTGGAATTGACAGTATAATGGTAAAAAAGTGTCTTTAAGTTTCTGCTGCTGCAAATAGAAGAAGAACATGGGAAGGAATGTAAAAGCTGTAAACTAGGCATGAAATCAAAAAGGGCTCATGTTCCTTTTTTCTTTCTTTCTTTTTTTTTTTTTTTTAAATCTTCTTTTACAATTTCAATCCTTCTTATTTGTTCTTGTGAATGCAGTGGGAAACAACCTATGAACATAAAATATAAATAAATTTCCCGTCTTTGGTTCCATAATTTTCCAAGAATATTCACTGAATCTCGTTCAACAAAAAATACCCATCATGGAAATATGAAACGTTAAAGCAATCCAACATTCTAGGAAAAGAAAGAAAACTAACGAACATGAATTTTACTAGTCCTGCTCATTATCATGTAAAGGAAATTATGCATTTTCTCTATAATTATATTAGAGAGTGCTTCAAAATACAAATGCATGGAAATTGAAAACAAAACGAATAAAGGGCAATTTAGAGAGGGAAAAAAAAAAAAAAAAAAAAAAAAAACTTTCAGAAAGATAGGATATTTGCAATACAATAGAGATTAGATGACCATTTTGCAACCAACCACAAGAGTAAGAGAGATGGAGAGCGAGGGAAAAGGAAAAGAAGGCTATAATCAAAGCATACAAAGGCCAAGGGAGGGGAGGCAACAAGTGACCCACTTTATTTTTCTCTTCAACTACTGCCAGCCTAGCTTACAACAAATAGGTGGGTGAAATTTTGGCCAATCCAATGCTCAAAAAAGACAATTTTTCTGATGGAACAAAACCAAAAATCTCAGCTTCAGTTTTTCAACCCAAAGGACCAAAATAAGCACCCTACCACCTTCTTGAAAGCAACCCACAAAGAACGTGATCCATACATGAAACTAGGTGCAATTATTATTGTTATTATTGTTATTATTATTTTCTGTTTCATTTTTAATATATGGTGTGTTGAAAATATTTTATTGAATAGGGGCTCTCATCCCTAGAATTGGCGCAGCCCACATCTTGGAAAATGACCTAGATTTAGGAAAAGGACAAGTCCACCCTCTCTGTCTTATCGATACTCCTTTTCTTGCACTACTCTAAGATGTGATATGATAAATAATATCATTATCATAGTACCAAATAATATAGAATGGTTAAGGGGGAAAAAATACCTTTTTATCAGATACACATAAAAGCGAATGTCAAAGTTAGGAGGCGTTTTGCTTGGCATTCAGCAGGCAATTTTCGGACGGGTACGAACAACACATCAACCACACGTTCAACGTATCTTTCGATTTATCCTATTTACGTATCTTTTACAGAATATAATGTCTCGTTCATTTCACTGATTTGAATTTTCAGTTTTAGATTTTTACAGTAAAAAATTCTCAGAAAATGTCACATCTAACTTTTTCTGCTACAGTGAAAAGCTCTCAAAAAATATGACATCTCAACTCGAATCTGCGAAGTGAACAAGACCTAAGATTAGAACATAGCGATTGAGACACTCTGAGAGTTGGATCAATGTGAGTTTCTATTTTATATAATTTGTGGTTCCGAATATTAGAATTTTCCCTTCTCAAAGTTCTCAATTTGTCACGTCTCAATGCAAAGTAGTTTAAAGGTTGCTACCAAAGAGTTGTTAAAAGTTGAGGAAGGAAAGTGAGAATTCTTATCGTGTTGTTTGAAGCGTTGAAACGACGTCATTGATTACCAATAACTCTTACAAACAAGCCAATGTTTCTCCAAATTTTTAGTCCTCTGATATGCTCTATCCTCAAATAGCTGTATAGAATTGATGAAGCGGAAAATAATGAGTCCTTTAATTGATGATAAAATAATTCTCTTTATTCTAAAAGAAAAAATAAATTTGAAAGCTGTACTTTTTAACTTTGAGAACGAAATGGCATACTCGGCGGAAATAAGGTAACTACACATTGATGTCTCCCTTATTACTGTTAATGTTGAATACTTTTAAGCCAAAAAAAAAAAAAAAAAATATGACTCAAAATGGTAAAAAATATTTTTTATATCACGCTATTTAAAAATAAATAATTTTCATTTAATTAATGAGGATAAAATAAATGGTCACTATAACACTTAATTATTTAAAATTGTATAAATAATAGACCTCCACAAAACCATGACAAACCATGTGCTTTTCTCAAAGAGAAATATTTATGACACTAAATTAAGTAATAACATATTTTAAAATTATTTGAAGTAAATAACAATTTATCGTATAAATGTTTCTTTTACGACTGATAAAAAATAATTTACATGATACAAATATTTATTTACGTGGAAAAAAATCTTTTATCAATCGTAAAAAGAAAATTTACTTTGAAAAAAATCTTTTTACTAATTATAAATAAAATATTTATACAATAAAATATTTAATTTAAATAATTTTAAAATTTACTATTTACTTAATTTAGTTTCACAAATCTATTATTTACTATATTCTGCCAAAAAAAAAATCCAACATTGATGCAGTCTAGCAAGTTGCAACATCAGCCCACAGGAGGTTATGCTAAGAAAGAAATAAGACTAATTGTTAAATTCAACCTCTTTAGTAATCGGGGAAAAAAAATGTTATTCCAAATCCGTTTAATTATTAGTGGCTAAGGTAATAATACAAGAGATGCTGGATGATAATACAGGCAAAAGGGTACTTTTTTCCGAACAAAAATAAAAGCAATCCTTTAGCGTACGCCACTGAGCTAAAGGTGTATAAAATGAAAATAATAAATATGAAGTAGAATTATCAAAAATAAATAAATATATATGAAGTAGAAAGGATGTGGCTCAGCTTATATCATGTTGTACTCTTAGGTTTCATTTGGTAAGAGAGATAGAGAGCACGAAGGATGTAGATAATTAGAGGGATGAAGAGTATAAAAAATGAAGAAGATTATACTAATTCCTTAAGCTATGTTTGTATATAGATCCCGGATGAGGATTATTTATCCTAGGAAGAAAGAAGGAAATAGACCAAGATTTGAGATGAATTAAAATTAATAGGCCAATAGTTTACATAAGTTAATAAATAGGCCAAATTACTGTTTTCGTCCATAATTTGTCTGGTTATGAACTATAACCTGGCTATGAATCATAACTTAACAAATTTGTCTATAACTTATCTGATTATGAACCATAACTTAACAAGTTATGACCTATTTATTTCTATAACTAAAAATTGACTTATATACTTTCTTAAGCTTTTCATATTAACTTATTTTTTACTACTTCCCTTTATCCTATTCCCGTGTTTGGCGTATTGTTTAGATTTAACTCAAAAAATAGTCCAAGATATGTGAGACTAGTAGTCTCCCCAAAAAGGGCGGGTTTTCTAACTCCTTTGACCGGATAACAATGTTTGACCATCTTCTCTCCTAATTCCAAAGAGATCCGACTCTGCCCAACCAACCACAACCATCACCGGACTGTGAAACCAGTCCACCCCTCTCCCTCCAACCAAACATAGTCTTAAGTAGCAATGTGTGTGTGTGTGTGTGTGTGTTGTTGCACTTTATGAGGTTAGAAATAAGAAACGTAGAACTGTGAAACCAGCAAGAGCAGGGAACAGTGCTAGTTAAAGGTAAACGGACTGATAGTGATTCGTGGGAAATGAAGTTCCAATTTTATTTCTTTTACTCCCCATTACATAATTGAGAACATAAATGCCGTCAAAAAAAAAAAAAAAAAAAAACTCAAGTCTTGTAGAAGCTTATCGACAGGAGTTTTGTTTAAATGCACAATGTCAAAATTTTACTAAGAAAATAATCAACTCATGTATACAAACAAACATGGAAACTGGCTCAAAAGAATTATGGAAGACCAAAAAAAACAAAAAAGGTAAACTACTCTCAACAGGTTAACAGCAAAAATTTCTCTGATATTGATTAACAGGAAAATTGTGATACATTACAATGCACAACCTGCTTCAGATCCCCAAGACACTGGAGCAAGTTTTGATATCCACCAGTATAGAAGAGATTGATTGCCAAATTCTGCATCTCCCTCAAAGACTGTAAACACCATTTTTCGTCGACCAACAGTTATGTCCCAAAAATATGTCTGTCTACTGGTTGGGTTTCAAATGTTTTAATAACTTCCTTCCACGGTTTTTCCATGATCAAGATTGAATTTCTAGAAAGGTGTCCGACAAATAAAATAGGAGCTTTGCCATTATTAATAAACTCAAAATTCCTTCTACCAATTATTTTAGTTTGATAGTCCCGTAATTTACGTTTCAACTTCCCGCTAACATGATCACCTTCTAAATTCCTGGCCACTGTATCCTGACCGCTCATCGTGCCACTTTCATCCTCTTGATCCACTGGCATCCCAAAGTCGATCCAGCAAAGTGCACTAAAGCATACCAAAAAGAAATGTTAAGACATTAAATCTAAAGCTAAATTTTGGGCAAATAGAATTATCTTAGGACTACATGACTCTCAGCCTAGTCTTAAAACAAAGATAAACAATATAAAATGATAAAAGGTATCGTTTTGATAATTGAGCCATGTTCTAAAAATGGCGTTCCAGCTATCACGCACGTTTATCTGCAATTACTACCCAAACACTCCTAGATGCCTTTACCAGGGTTTTATTGGCTTTCCTACCAAGGAACTTCAAATGTTACAAGTTAATAACTAGCCTTTATTGAAATTGCAGATTAACCAAGGAAAGAGAAGCACCTGGCACTATAAACAATAACAGACGATAATGAGCTTGATGAAGGGGAGAAAGAAAGACCAATAACTTCTCCAGGAAATTCTTGGAATCTCTTGGGCAGAACATCGGTGTGTCGACTTGACCAATCCCCCAACTTCTTGTCCTCCACATCCAACGCATATACCCGATTTGAAGAGGTTGTGACTATAAGCACATTGTTATTCCGTGGTGAAAACCCCCCTGCTGTAACAGAGGCACCATCCAACCTTGAGATAAACCAATGTTGTCTGTTTCACAGGGAAGAAAAGAAGTCAACACAAAAATGGTTAAGATTTAAGGCGCATTGAAGTTCACTCTGGACCAAAAGCAGTCTTTAGCACACAAAATATGTCCCCTCAACTTAATATAATGTCCTCATCAACACACAGATGAGGGAGGGAAAAAAGAAAGGAAAAAAAACAAAAAAAGCTCCGTACCTCCATATCTCCAAGTTGAAAACATATACATCTCCAAAGCAGTTGATGGCAGCTAACCACTGCCCATCAGAACTGGTAAACATTTTTGTGATTGGAGGCTCACTAGGAGGTAATTCCTCATCATGAAACTCCTTGCAAGGGGTGAAGACATGTATCGTTTCTAAGCTGACCACATCCACAACCTATAGATAAATCATTAGTTAACTTATACCAGAGTTTCTGAGGTCCATATGTGCAACAACAAAAAAACGAAAAAAAATAAATAAAATAAACAACTCAAAACCATATATAAACAAAGAAAACAACGGAACAAAGAGACAGCTTACATAAATCCTTCTATCATGCCCAGCTATCATCAACCGAGCAGAATCAAAACTAAAGACCATGGAATGGGCATAGGGTAGTTTTCGAGGAAGAAGTCTTTTATCAAGAGTCCAAGCGGTTTTAGCACCTTTACGCTTTAACTCAAATAGGGCAGGTTTCGCATGGTCAGAATAAGCAAAAAGCATTCCTGAATTAGACATGGTGCTGCAAATGATTCTCCGAGATGCTTTACTCTTAACTCGAAACAGCAGATCAGTAGCCACTAGGCCCCCAGAAGGACCAGGGCCAGAAGCTGAAATAGAACAGGCACCATTCTTCACCCGAATACACAGGATATCCAACCAACAAGAAGCTTGAACAAGAAGCAACGATGATTGATTGAATACAGTATTCAGTACCAGCTGAATAGGTACTCTCTGAGGTGCAGGGCAAATGTCATGTGGAGCATACTCTGTGAATTCCTTAGCTGAGTAGGCATAAAGCTTTGCGTCGTCACCAGCAGAAATAAGCATGGGAACACCTGAATGCGCCCATTTGTGATAACTCAACTCAATAGGCTTCTTCTTGCATCGAATTCTTTTTACCTTTTGATCTGGCAGTGGATCTGCAATTATAATAATGCAATTTAAGATTTCAGAAACCAGTAAATAGACAGAAATTCCAGAAATATAGATCCTGTGAAGAAATAGCATGTTTGTGAACAGGAAGAAAAATTAACCAAAGCGATAATTAGGGACAACCTTCTCGATAGATAGGCACAGCCACTGTCAAAGCCCTGACATCATGAGTATGCTTTCGTACACTGTCAACATATATCCATTTCTTCACTACGTTAGAAGATTCACCATCAGCGGATTGTGTTGTCTCACTAGATAGCTTATATAGAATAACCTACAAGTAAAAGCCGGTAGAGAGACATTACTAAGAGAATGATATCCAGTTAAAAAAAAAAAGGAAAAAAGAGGACTGATAAAAACAAACCCGCAAGCAAACTAGCCAAAAAGTTAGCTAGATTTTGTGCTGGCTTTTTTTAACCCATAACCTTGGCTCCAAATTTCAGTTCGTGATCAAACTTTGTGGCTAAAACAAGTCATATTGAATTAAGGGCACGCTTACTAACTTACAATGGAACGTAGTGGAAAAGGTAAAGGGGTAGAAAATGAAAGAAAAGCAACTGGAAAATTTTCAAAAAAGAAAATAAAATTAGTACAAAATATGGTTTTTTATAAAATGATCAAAACAATTAAAGTGTCTCCCCTAACAGCTAATGGATTAACTAACCTCCAACCATGAAATAATTTGCAAAATATAATGTAGACTAATGTAATGTTGAACTTGAACATGGACTTTTTTGCAACTAATCATTATACCTGACCATCTGAACCCGCAGAAAATACCCTGTTGTGTCCAGGAGCAGCTGCCAGAGAATTGGCATCGCCTTTGTGATAAGAATGCCCCTGCAGAAGAGTTCCATGCTTACTGTCCCAAAATTGAACACTACCAGTACTATCTGCACTTACAAGAGTCCCGGACCTGGTGTGAACAGAAAAACATCATAACCAATGTAAAGATGATCCTTATAACCAGGAAAAGATACAGTAAATTGATAAATACCTCAGAGAAAGTAACGACCACACACAAAGCTCGGATCCACTACCCAGACCTCCTAGCCCTACTGTAATCCGATAGATTTCACTACCCAAAATAGGATTCCAGCATCTTATTAACCTAAAAAAAACAGAAATAGAAAATAGATTAGTGTCAAGACAAGCTTGAGAAAACTAACACTAATCAAAGAAATGAAGGAAAGCTGCAGTATAAACATTTAGAACAGATAATTATAAACATGAACTATAGCAAATAGAAAACCTCCGGTAAATGGACTAACCCATCACTACTCCCTGAAAATATCATTTTTGCGTCAGGACTCCACGTTACACTCAAAGTGCGTCCTGAAAACAACAACATTTACCAAATCGATGAATAAAGAAACTAAGAAGCTAAACTTAAATCAAGCCTTGCACTGAAGAAAACAGATATCTCACCTCTGACCCTACGCAACGATCTAGTGTAAACAAAATCATCTTCAACCAAAATGTATATTCGCACAGAACCATCATCACAAGCCAATGCCACCCGTTGATTATCAAAACCCGACAGCTCAGAAAACTCATCGGAATCAGAATCAGAATCGTCTTCACTTTCACTAGTTTCACCATGAGTACTGCCGTTCAAATTATTACTTAAATGCCCATTTCCCATCCGGGATGTGGTTTCTGTGGATTGATTACAGGGTGCCACGGCCATTTGCCAGATTGAAACCCCAATCGTCTCTAACAGGGTCTGAAAATGCAAATAACTGATTAAGTAGTTTTAAACTTTCAAGCAATTTGAATCAGAAGCATACAATCTAACCAAAAAAAAAATGAACACATGAAATAGAAAACGAACCTTCTGCTTCAAGAGGAAAATGTCCCACTCGGAAACTGAGCCATCGATGCTGCACGATAAGAGCCGGCCGCAAGGCAGTCCCTTCGAACCAGCCCGACACCACGCAAGCGACGAGACTCTCGAATTGGGGTCCCCGTGAATAGTCTAGCCCAACCAAAACAAAAACACACACAAAACAACCCAAAAATCATTAGCAAAAGTTTGACTTCCATCTAATAGCGACAAAACGCAAAATATTCTTTTTGGGTCGTCGGTGTACCAGCTGACAGTGCCAGCCGACGGAGCCGGGAGAGACGAGCCAAATCTCGACGGATCCGTCCTGGCGAGCGGCGGCGACCTGAGAGTCGTCGACGCTGGTGGCTAGGGCTACTACCGGGGACGGCTCCCAATCGACCGAGCTGTTTCTGAAAATTTCGAACATGTCGGAAAACCCTAACAACAATCGCCGGAAATCGCTCCGATTCGGGATTCTGTGGCGGCGGAGAAATGAGAAAAGAGAGGGGAGAGAAGCATCCGAAGAAGAAGAAGAATGTGGAAAAGCACTTGAGAAAGAGAGAAGTTGTGAAGAAGACGGTGGAGAAGTGTGAGGTTAGGTTTTTGAGGGTTTTAGCGCGGCGCGATTGATTGAAGTCTTTGAGTTTATATGACCCCCAATTTCATTACTCAACGTTTGGAGTGGGCCCTTGCCCATTATTAGCTGGGCCAATCGGCTACTAAAAATTTGGGCCATAAAGCCCACTTAAAATGACATGAGAAAGGGTAATCGAAGATAATAAGGCTACGTTTGTGAATTTCGAGTTTTATTACGATAAAAATCTCTAAAAAATAGTTACATTTAAGGGTTTGTTTAGTATAAAGATTGAAATCAGAGTTATTTGGGTCTTTAGATTAAGAATCACGATTCATGATTTGAATCATGATTCATAGTGATTGGAACCTTTGTTTGGATGAGTGCAGGCATGATTCTGATTCTAACCTGAAATGTGATTCAAACTAGTGTTTGGTTGTCTTGTTTTCTGATTTTGAACCATGACCAAAATAAGAACCATCTTTTGTCCATGTAAATTACGTTATGTGTAAATATAATTCATTATATAAGTAAAAAACGAAATATGAGAGCCAAAATTAAATGTAAGAAATTATAAGTTAAATGAGAAATAAATGGAAAAAATGTGCATTAGCCATAAATAAGGCAAATAACAGAGGTTGAATCACATTGCTGTTATATACTTTCAAATTTGTCTCCCACGGCTTCCCTGATATTCTACCCACATTTCATTCGCAAGACGATCCCTAAAATGACCCATCTCTGTACGACTAACACTACCTGTTGTTACAATTGGACTTTCAGGGACATTGCCATCATTGTCATTGTCATCAAGTTCGTCATCATTGTTCGGATCTATTTTGCTTACCGGTACACCATCACAGTAGTACTGATTTAGAAGCAGGCCCCCTTCATTAACCATGTGAATGAAATTATGTAGTATTGCATAAGCAACTGGAATCTTCGCTTGTTTACTCATTGAATACGTATTATTAGGGCGCCTTAGGATAGGGAGCCTCGCCTTCCAAACTCTGAATGTTTCGTAGCGATGAGTATTTGTAGTTAAAAATATCTCTCACTCCTTGAAATCCACCACTTCTCTTACTATAATCAGGCAAATGGTAAGTCTCACCTCTATAGGGAGCGAGAAAATAATCATTATTCGCGTAGGCTGCATTAACAAGAAAGTATTTTCCTGCATAACTTATATAAATTAGGATACAATTTAGACCCCATAAAAAAAATGACAAACTAGAACGTAATCATTATGAAATATAACCTGGCGGGGGACGTGGGAACTTAAATTGCAGAGTGTTGAGCGCATCAGTGAGCACTCATGCATCGTGTGTTGAACCTTCCCAACCACTCAGAATGTATGTGAAATTCATATCAAATGAGCATGCTGCCAATATGTTCTGGGAGTTCACACCCTTCCTATTTCGATAAGTCGTTGGATTTGGGACACCAATTGATGTACAAGGCACGTGAGTACCGTCAATAGCGCCCACACAGTCCTGAACAATGGTGCCTAATGACAGTTTTAACATAAGTACCACATAAACATCGTTTTGGACAAATTTTTGTGAAGAGTAATGATAGCTATTAATAAAAGAACAGATGTAAAAGAGTTACACAACTTACATTAAACCATGTTTCATATCTCTGACGATTCTGACGTAAAAAATCATGCACTTTGACATAGTTTTGGGGTTTAATGAAATCATCATGTAGTGCACAGATAGCGTCTAAAACATCGCTAAACCTTCGTGAAATGGTCTCCCCATAATGTTGCCATACATCTTGCGATTCACGGTTAGTTTGACTTTGCGAAATTATTGTCATAAAAACAAATAATTGTTCTGGGATATTCATGTTGTAAGACGGTTATAGCAATCCTCTCTCAGTTAGTATGTCACAGAGATTCATAAATGCATGTGTTCCCATACGTACCTTGTTAAACATAGTTGTCTCATTATTGTTTGATAATAACTCATTTACCTTATCCACTCCTCTTAGAGAAGAAATGTACATTGGCCTTAGTACCAATTCAGTAGACAAATAAGCGGCTGCAGCTGTTGCAACGCCTATTGCAGCAAGAGATCGTCGTCTTCGTCTCGAACGGTTCCTTCTGTTTTTTTCGTCATTTGCATTTTCTGGTCCTTCTCCTTGCATCCTGTTACTTTACGAGTTCACCTGTACATACAAATTATCTTATCCATCACAGTTCTAGTCATGCATAGTAACAGAATCTACAGAAAAATATCCAATGGAAGCATAAAGAAATGGTAACTCATGTATACAAACGAGATAAATCATGAGAACAAGTCAAAGACAATGAATTACATAACAACCACTCAAATAATAGTTTGCTACATGATCATGTGTCCAACAACACATTATACATATCCATAGTTCATTTAAAACGCACTCAAATGTAAAAAAAAAGACTAATCCATGGTCAAATGTAATTGGAAAATCGACCATCTAAGTTCGAATGTAAAAGAACAATCCTCCCCTACATCTATGGAGTTGGCGGACGGGTAAATGGGTTTGGGGGGTGGTTGTATGGATTAGGTGGCTGACTGAAGGAATGTGTTTGCTGTCCAAAGTGGATTGGCGGCCGTTGGTAAGGATTTGGCACTTGAGAGAAGGTTTGTGGTGGGTGGCTATAAGGATTAGGAACCTAGTAAACAAATGGAGTTTGTGACACTGAAACGAAATTATTGAGGAATGCCCTCCTTATCAGCTGACCAATTTCTCCCCAAATTGGACGCCACTTTAAAGATTTTCTCAAACGCATGAGCCTGCATATGCGGATCAAGTCCCATTTCCGCCAATGATGTTAATATGACACTCGCTTCACTCGATCCGTTAACGGTCTTGGCACTCGGCTGGCTCTCTTTGCTTGAACGAATATCTTCACGCAAATCATCGAGCATCTCCCTCACCACGTCAAGGATATCCCGTCGACTACTGTCGTTGGATTTCTGTGCCCTTGTCGATCTCTTGCGAATCGGTCATGAAGACGACGCGACGTTGCACGCATTTCCCCTTCGACTGCGTGCGTCGCGGCGGCCACACTCAACTCGAATCTCATTATCTTCATTGTTTTGGTAAGGAGAATCTCAATGGCTTTGTGGTTCTTCATCCCCAGCTCCAACTTCATTGGAGGGCACACCGTCCGCTGTCTCTTGATCTACGGCCGGGTGATATGCACCAGCACCAGTAGCTACAAAATTGTGTTCACTTCACGGTTTCTCTGGCAAAATTTTAAACAAAATTGTAAGTTTCTCACACTTACTACATGTAATGTAGTTAATCATTTCTTTGAATGAGGGACCACTAATGAAGCACACAATTTACCTTGCAAAGATCTTTATGCAGATCCTCCGAGCATGTGAAAGTTTTGTTGATAGAATCCCACCCAACCCCAGTATGGTTTTTCAACATTTTGAACGCTGCATAAACCTTACTAAGTCGGTGGCGTTTCTCCCTAAGGAGCTCAGCGGCTGGTACATAGCCATAAAAAAAAGTTGCCATATGAATAGCCCATTGGTTGTAGTCACGAGATTTCGGTTGCTTCACGTGGTTTGCACCATGGTATTCGTAGAGACACTCAAGTAGGAACGCCTCCGCAGCAGCACTCCAATACAACAGCACTCCAATACATTGGCCTCTCATCCGCATTTTTCCTAGGCATCTACAAACGCATATGACAACTAAAAGAAAATACTATTGGTTTATACTAACAAACAAGGACAATTATGTCCATCAAGAATGAAAAAATGGGTCAAGAAAGAAGTTTTCAAAAGTTGGGAAATCTAAAGGAAATCTTCCAAGACCGGCAATGAGAGAAGAGTTCCAATGCAAAAAGGCCAATTTAAAAGAGAAAAGAAAGCAACATAAAATTTTAGACAAGTCTTTCTAAGTGCCGCAAAAGATATAAAAGCTGAAGCCACATATGACAAATTTTAGGGAAAAAAAATGTTATGTCATGAAGAACAAACTCATCTTTTTTCCTGTTGGTTTCTCACTTTATTTTTTCCTTTTCAATCTGCTCATTCTATGTTATGTCATGGAGGAGTGTAGACTATAGCATTCTTGCATGGTTGGTGACACTTTAGAAGAAGAAATAGAAACAAAACGCTAAAGCTTAGGTTTCTCAAGATCAACGATTTGTGCCATAATCACAAGAGCGTAATTCTTCACCAAAAAAAATCACATGGGCGTAATTACCTTGACAGTTGTTAATATGACAATTAATTAAACACTAAACTCATGATTAACAAAAATAAAAACGAAGGATCTACCAATCTCACATTCTCAAGACATATATGACAATCAAATCCCACAACTTTATAAGAGTCATGGTTCTTTTTTGCATAAAGTAAGTTACTTCCTTTCCATTGGTACAAAAACCATTACAATAGGGATTCAAAAAGGCCCTCAAAATTACTAGCTCAAGTTGCTAATAAACACTCAGAATATGCAATGCATCCTCACTTCCTTTATTTTCACTGTAATTTGTAAAACCATTTTATAACTTCCCATTTTTTTGTGCTTTTCGGCTAAAGGCCCTTTGTCATATGTATATGTATAATTTATAGGACTATGAATTTATTGGATTTTGGCCATGAAAAAGAAAAGCCTAAATCTAAATCCGTGAATGAAAAGGATTAGCAAGAGGCAGTCTATATTATTAGATCATTATTAATCACAAGCTTAGAAAAGATCAGGATTTTAAAATGTGAGAGATTTTCTGTAACCTGGGACTAGAAAATCACATGCAAGAGCTAAGAACCATCTTCACCATGACCAAACCGGGTAAATTAGTTCCTATCTTAGAAGAAAGCTCTGTGAGTGGTTATGGCGGATCAACGTGGCTAAAGTATATGGTCCTAAAACAAATGTAGGACTCCATTGCTTTGTATGTAACATTCTACACAAATCAAGCTAAAAAGGAGATCATTCAAACATTAAACCCAAACATTTTGACAGAAACCCTAATCCCCAATTTCATTGACAGTATCGGGGGTACTACTGCAAATC